TCCTTTTTTTTGTCCAAACTCCAAGTGTTAGCATAACAACTTCTTTACTTGTAAGTATACAATTAAAGATCATTGTTCAAAAGCCCAAAAATTGTTGTTTTAAAAAAACTAATGATCATAGCAATTATTGACTATAATACTTAACAATACTACCTTTTTTCATATACACCGTACGGAATCACTTTTTCGAGATTATTTTCTCTCCTAAATAAGATAAATAAAATATAATAAACAAGCTATGCAAATACAAATACGAACACCATCTTCCCGAGCAGACATTTCACGATAAAGCTGTAACCAATCCGGACCAACAGACTTCAAATTTGAAATCCAAAAAAAACAAATTCAATTCGTATAATGCATGTATACATATTTGGATATCACTTCTTTTATTATATGAATAAAATTCAAAGATGTAAATTTTCGAAACCATTTGTCCATCGTTAATTTCTAATAGTCTCCTCAAGCTGGACAGGGTTTTCAGGCTTACCATAGCATATGCAAGGTCTATAGCCCGGAAAATCTGCGAAAAAAAAAACCATATATTAATACTCTTTTGACAGCAAAAACAATGCGTTACTATCCCATAAAACCGTATTCACATGCCAAAAGTCTTATTTATTAATAATATCACAAGTCACAAATTTGTGACTTCTACGGTTTAAGAGATAACCAAACATTTCATAAAAATGTTATGGAATATTTTCTATAAATCCTTCAAAGAGGAACTTGAAAATAAAATATTGATTGTTGTATATATATCAATTAACACGTCTTTTTTTTCATCACATTATGATATTATCATTTAAGACATCCATTATTATCGGATATCATTGCGCTTCTATGAAGAAAAGATCAAATTGTATTAGTGTTATTTTTTTAAAAATGATCGCGTGATTCCAAAAAGGATTTCCACGCACGCGCGTGGACATCTTTACTAATTAATATATTGCGTATCTTTGGAGACAATAACAACGACAGATTATTCATGTAAGGATGAATATCAATTGATTGACTGACTAATATTTGTTGATCAAAATTCCGTAACCATATTAATACAAGAATTAGAAAATGTAAAAAAAATTATTTATTAAATTAATTAATTAAAATAAATTACTATAATAATATATACGCATAATAGTATAGAAATATAAGTTGTGTGTAAATGCGTGATGGATGGAATTTATGGCATGATTGCAAATGGTTGTTTTGAATAATTAATAATCATGATAATAACAATAAACACTACTTACTATTAATAAATACAAATTAATAAAATTATTATTTTTAAAAAAGTTAATCGAAAATTAATGATAATTACTAAATGATAATTTATTAGCATTGAATTGCACCGTTAGTCGATGAGGGAGAAGATGAAATATTTCTATGGTAGTGATCCTCTGAATTGCCGCCATCATTGCTATTATTGAACTTATTCCTTGATAACAACAAATATTTATCAGTTTTAATAAATTTAGGTATAGAATCAGTCGCCATTAATCTAAATATTGTATCTTGTATTTTATCATATAAGTGACTTGTTGTTTTAATTTGAGCTAGAATATTACCATTACCGTCTTGATTATCTCTCACAACATTATTATTATTATTGCTATTTGTCATTAGAGATGTCATATATTGTATAACATTTTGTCGCAATCCATGATCTATATTAACTTCATCCGGTGATTCTTCTGCCAAATAAGTATGATAGATTTTGAATGCATCTATTAAAAGTTCTTGTTGATCTTTAATATTTTCATTAGATAATGTTTTATATTTGCGTTTGAATTTTTGCACATCCAACAAAAACATCAGATTTTCTGCACAGAAATTGGCTTTCAAGAATTCCATAAATAATTTACATAATGCTGAATCATCTAAAATTAGTTGTAATTTCTTTGTATTAGAGGCAGAGGTAAAGGTGGTTGTAGATGTAGATGTGGATGTGGACGTGGAACTGCTATAATTATGATCATTACTAACGTTAGAATTTAACGACGAGGTGCGACTATTAACGCTGTTGTTATTAACGCCATTATTATTAATACTGTTATTATTAATACTGTTATTATTAATAATAACTGTGTCACTATTATTACGTTGATTATTATCATTAGAACTTGATGTTTCTCTTACAGCATCATTCGCATTAATAACATTACCAGCATTACTAGCATTGGTGTTTTGATTATCGTCATTATTATTCTTATTCCATGATGCAATTTTTCCACCTTTTTCTAATATTTGATAATAAGTAGATTTCGAGTATCTAAATGTTGGGTTTTCAGTTTTATCAGTTGATGATTTCTTTTGGTCATTATTGTTTGATGATGATGACGACGATGATGATGAAGAAACACATTCGATAAATCCATATCTTATAAATTCTATTGCTATTTTCATTGCTTCTTCTTTGGTAATTAATGTGGTGAATTCACATAACCAATCACAAGCTGATGCTCCTGTAAACGTGTAGCGATAACTCTTTTGGTTTATCTGACGATCTTTCACCTCAATTCCAAGATTACGGTCAAATGAACCATTACTACCATTATTGTCTATTACCAATATAGAAGATGAATCATGATTATTAACATTTGGTACATTTGGTCTTTGACCTGCAAAACGCCTAAATATTGATTCAATACTTTGCCTTGAAAGTACAATTGAATCATTATCAGGACTTCTTTCAATAAAAAATAATTTTATTGATGATGCTGATGTTGACGATGGTGGTTGTGACGATGGTGGTTGTGAGAGAGGATGTAATAATTTAGATAAATGTGGAGCTGTAATTCCATTTCTACTGATAAATCTTTCCAAAACAAATAAACCTTTTTGTGTCAATCCATATATGTTTTTATCTTTGAATGCACGGCTACTTGAATCACCCAAATTCTCAAATAATCTTGCATCCATAAATGTTTGACAGACACTTTTTGCCATTTCTTTTGTCATACTGAAAGTTGTAGTGGTTGTGGTCGTTACAATTCTCGAGGGATCTTTGGGATCAGGAGTTCGGTGTGATTGTGTGAATCTTAGCGAACCTAAGTTTGCTATTGCTTCTTCTGTAGTAAATGAATTCGAATAATTTTTAAATAGATTTCTATGAGTTTCCATTGGTAATGAAACGACCAGCGTTGAAAACAAATCATGAATATCCTAACAAATACATTTTACACATTATTAATGACGCATAATTCTAAGCTTATTATTTTTTATGGGCAAGCAATAAACACAAACCTTAACAAATGGTCTTCCAGACCTTGTGGTCTTCATCATATGAGTGGAGGACTGTTGTTGTACCTGAGTTTGAGGAGCTGCCATATTTTATTATTATGTGTGTATATATATATATTAAGTATTGATTTAAAAAGATTGTTGAAATTTTGGTGAAATGAATGTAAATTTCTTTATTATTATAATTTATTTTAATTTTAAAAAAACCCCTTTTTCCAAAAAAAATATATTTACAAGGGTTAAGAAAATGAATGAATGCTGTGTGATGAGTTTATATTATGAGATTTATGATTTAATTAATATCAATAATTAAATATAAATTTTCTTGTTTACATGCAAATATTTTTTGTTGAGGGAAAAGAGAAAAATTTTAATTAATTTATATTTTTTATATTTTTGTGGATAAACAATTAAAGAGTAGGTTACTCAAATTCAAGCGTTTAATTAATTAAAAAAATAATAGTAAAAAAAAACAATGTAATCTTTCTCTCTTCTTACTTTAACTCCTATTTTAATTAATTTTCTATAATAACAATATTAGATAATAAAATATGAATAAAGAATTAGATGAAACAAAATCTCATAATAAAGAAACCTTTTTGTTTTAGAAAGATTTGCTAATTTATACTAAATATATACATTACATATATTAATGGATATTTATAGCAAAGTTTTATGCAATTTAAGATGTTTTTCTTTTCTCTCTTATGAGAAGATCAACAGCCAAATATTCTGTTTTTTAATTCCATTATTCATTACAAATTCGTCAAATTTGGCAATCACATGTAATTTCCATCTTGCAAAAAAATTCTTTATCTATAACGTACCAAAGAAGAATGTATAATGGATCAATTTGCATTAACTCCAATAACTCATTATTATTACACCATTTTCGAATTTTCACTTTCGAATTTAAAATAAATTTTTCATTAAATCTTTATATATGTTTTGGCTGATGTTATTAGCCATCTTTCTATATTTTTTGTTTATTATATAAATATTAAAGATTAATCAATCCAACTACAATTTATGACATTGTACAAATTAATTTCGTATCGCTAAAAAGATATATTTGTTATTGCTTGCTTGTAAATAATAATAAATTATTAATTATTTTGTAGAATAATAGACATCAACAAACCAACCATTCCTTGCCTAGTTGTGATTGTTCGTGTGACATCTGATGCTTATGAAAATTGTTTTTTTTTATCAAACATTTTTTTTAATTTAATTTAAATTCTAATTTTCTTTAGCTTCAATGAATTTACTAATAAACTATTCGGCAAACTATTTGCAAAACTATTTGGTAAACTTTAAAATAAACTATTTGACAAACTACTAAATAAACTATTTTTGATGAGATATACTAATTAATAAACCCAACAATATATTTAAATTTAAACCATATTAATTTTTTTTTTACTGAAAAGTTTTCTCCACATTTTTCTTTTTTTAACTCAATAAATATAAATATTTTTTTACCCCTCCCCTTCGTTTCCCTCCTTTTTATATATATATATATATTTATTTATTATTATAAATATTTTTCTTATTTTTTTTTATTTCATTAGAAAATTTTTTTTTCAAGGTTTTTTTTATTTAAAAAAAATTAAAATTAAAAATAAAATATTATTTTTATTATTTTTTTTTTTTGTCCCAAGAGAGGAACATATAAAAAATTTTGTAAATTATAACATTATATATATATAATTCAATTTATTCAATTCAATTCAATTCAATTATATTAATTGAGAAAAATGCTGGGAAAAATATCAAAAAAAGCAAAGAAAGCTGTTCAAGAACATTCTTCAAAAAATAATTCAGATTCACAAAATAATAATAGTAGTGGTGGTGGTAATAATGGCGGTGGTAACAATGGTGATTCAAGTAAACATAACAATTTAACTGTAGCTATAAATAAAAAAGGTGGAGTTGCTCTCAACTATATTCTAAAAAGAGCTCCAAATCTCTTACCTGCTGTAGCAACCACTGTAAAACTTCTTCCTAAAATAACTAAAAAAGATAAAAAAAATAACCAGAGACATATACATCATAATTTTGATCATACAAATAACACCATAAACAATCATAATGGGATTCATCAAAATCATCAAAACATTGATGATCATGATAATGATGACAATAGTAGCGATCATTTATCTGTGGCTTCATATCTCGTCAATAATAAAGCGTTATCTCCTGCTCAAAGGCGTGGTTCAAAATCATTAAATGAAGTAGATATTAGTGATTATAGTAGTAACAATAGCAGTGGAAGCGGCGGTAATAATCATATTATGATGGATAGTAGTAATAATAGTAGTAATATTAATCATGGTAATTGTCGTATTCCTGAACATCATCATAGGCGTCCTTCTGAACCAACTCCTGTAAGAGGTATTAAACGTACTTTATATCATGATTATGATATATTATCAATATTTAAATCTTCATCACCTTCAAATCGTAATGATGTACCAGAAATCAATATTCTTCCAGTAGACACTACTAATAATAATACTAGTAATGGTCGTCGTCCTCACTCAAGATCAAATAATAATTTCCCTATAATTAAAGAAGGCTATCTCAATAAAAAAATAGATTTTGACACAAAATCATTCTCATCCTCGCCATCTTCTGGTTGGAAAGTTTATCGCGTAGTGTTACGTGGCTCAAAACTTTACTTTTACAAACCTCCTTCCGAATCAGTATTAAAAACATTTTTTCCAAATAATGATGATTTAAATAATATTAGAGATTTAAAATTTTCAATATTCTCATCAAATGATGATCACGGTATGGACTTGAATCCTGCTAATTTTGAATCAAGTGCAAATAAATTAATCTTTGAAGGTAGCGGTAGTAATAATAGTTATAATCAGAATAATAATAGTAATTATTATGGTGGCAGTAGCAACTATTATTACAATAAAAACAACGAATTAAGGTTTGATTCGCCACTTATAACAAATTATTGTTACGGTGAATCTTGTTATGAAACGGACAATTTTAATACTACAAGATCCAAAAAGCATGTTTGTTTATTAATATTCGAGGATAATGTTTTAGTATGTAAACGTAAATGGGTGAGGTATACGGCTGCCAATCTAAGACCTATTATGGATGCTATGGGTTTTGGTAATAGTCATAGTAGCCACAACAACAATAATCACAACAATCATAATAATCATAATAATACTTACGGCCATAGTCACAGCCATGGTCACGGACATAGTCACAGTAGTAGTAATGGTAGCAATTGTAGCAACAGTAACATTAATAATAATCCACTTACTACGAATCCTATTAATAGTAGTATTAGTAATGGCAGTGGTTTTAATTCATCATCAGAGACACCAACGTCAAATCAAGATTGGGATTCAAAATCTTTTAATAGTACTCGTGGTATATCTGAAAATGATAATGTAAATAATAATAAAGGTAAAGGTTATTATACGAAATGGAAACTGGATTCTTGTTTTCCAATTCATAATGTTGAAGTAATACAGGATCCAACACAAGATCAAAATCCATATATACCAACCAGCTATTCTCCCTATATTGCTCCCTTATCTCAATCCCCATATATCAACTCTTTCTCAAATAGACCAAATGATGATGCCTCATCTCTAAAATCTTTTTCTTCGTCTGTTTCTAATATCATCCCTAATAATAATAATAACAACAACAACAACAACAACAACAATAACAACAGCAATAATGCCGATAATAACAATGCTATTCTCCATCTATCAATTATTGATGGTCAAGATAAAAGTACATTAAGAGCTTTTATTATGCCAAATAACGAATCAAAATCCATTTGGATTAGTAAACTATGGGATGCTAAGAAAGCAAGTCTTAGAAAATTGATTAAATTACCTGATAAAGTTGATTCTAATTTAAGACAATATGGCTCATCAAGGGACAATAATAATAGCAGTACTGGTGGAAATAGTGATGGTGTCAATGTTAATTTACATGATAACAATAATGGTAATAATAATATTTTATCAAAAAGAAATTCAAGACTTAATGGTCTTAATATTGTTGTTAATGGCATTGGAGGTGGTGGCGGTAACAAGATCGAATTTGCAAATCTTCCTACACCTAGAAAAGCTAGAGCATATTGGGGCACCGATAAACATCCTGAATTAATTGTAAAAGACATGTCCATAATACCGACTAACCAATTATTCAACAACAGCAACAGTAGCAGTAGCAGTAACAGCAACAGCAACATCGTTAACAATAAAAACTTCATTAATGATGATGATGCTGATGGTGGTGATGGTGGTGGTGATTATAATGGCGGCGATGACAACAATAAAAAGGAATTTAGTATAATCATCGAAGAGGATGAAGAGGAAGAATATAATGATAGTGGCAACGAGGAGGACGAAGAAGCTGAAGAATCTATTAAAGTGGAAGAAATTGTTAATGATATCAAGGAAAATGTTGTTGACAGATCTAGTAAAGTATTTGAAATTGATAATAATAATGTTAATGATGATAATGAAAATAGTTTTGATGATAAATCTAGTAAAATAACTGAAATCAGAGATGATAGTGGTGATAATGATGGTGGTGATGATGATAAATCTGGTAAAATAATTAATAATGACAATGACAAAGACAATAGTAATGACAATGACATTAATAATGGTAGTATTGAAGATAAATCCAGTGAATTTAAAGATGAAGAAGAAAATATTGATGATGAATCCGGTAAAATAATTGATAATAATGATGAGGATGGCAAAATAATTGAAAATATTGAAAGTGCTAACAATGATAAATCCGAGAAAATTGTTGAAAATATAGTGAATGGTGATAGCAATGAGATTAAGGATATTGATAACGAGAACGATGGCGAGGATGAGAATAATGAATCTATTGATATAGTTGGGAAAGATGAAAATCTTGAAAACAGCGATGATGATAGAAATTCTCTTAAAGCCACTGATGAAATTGGCAAAGATTTTGATGAGGATAGTTCAACTAAATCACCAACGACTTTAGTTGATGATTCAACTTTTAATTCTCCCATTAAAAAGTCATCCCAGAAAATGATTCGTGGGGGGTCGATCGATGCGTTAATACATGAACTTGTGTTTGAAAGTCAAAAGGGTGCCGATGACGATGACGAGTTTCTACATGCATTTCTTCTCACCTATCCTCTATTCATAGAATCGACCCATATTTTGCGCGAGTTACGTCGTTGTTCCAGTATGATAACTCCAAAGGCTGATGTTATTAACAATAGATTGATTGTAATTTTTAAAACATGGTGTCAAAGTTATACTAGAGATTTGGTTAGGGATGACTTTTGGAATGATATTTTAAACTCTGTGGAAGAAATATTTCCTGACAATGAAAAGGTTCAAGGTGCAATGGAGTTAAAAAATTTATTACATGAAAAACGTAATGAAGTTCTTCAATCATCATCATCTATGCCAATTTCTTTATCAACTCCGACTACAATCACAACTAATTCTGATGACTCTGAAGAAGAAAAGCATAAAGCAATTAGCGACAATCAAATTGTCGATCCGTTATCTTTGGATCTTTCTAATTTGTTAGTTACTGGGTTAACTCCTGGCTTATTTTTGAAAATTGCTCCGGAAGAATTAGCGAAACAAATTTATTCTTATCATTATATTGAGTTACACCGATTGAATCCAAAAAATAATTTAAGAAGTTTCATGTCTCTGAAACACCGACCAAATTCACCCACACCATACAAAGAAAATCCATTAAATTTCACTCAGACATCTCCGCATTTCATCACACGATTAATCTACCATCATGTCTTGATTGCAGCTCAACAGTCTGCTGCCTACTCATCTCGTCGTCATCTAATCCTGATGCATTGGATAAAAGTTGGTATTAAATGTAAGGAATTGGGTGATATGGCAAGTTGGATGGCTATTGTTGTGGCTGTTTGTTCGCCTAGTATAGTGAGATTAAAGGAAACTTGGAGTAGGGTGGATGATAATTTGAGAAGTATAATCATTAATGATTGGATTCCTCTGATGTCATCTTTTGGTGGTTTAGAAGGCGAGATTGATTATATTAATAATCCCAAGACACCACCTTTAACACTATTACCTGATAAAAAAGAAAATCTTAAAACTAAACCAATTCCTTATTTTGGGTTTGTTACTGTTGCATTGGAAAAATTGTCTACTAACGTACCAGCTTTTATTGATAAATCTTCTTCATTATCACCTGGGGAAGATTTTAATTTCAATGGAAACTACACCAATGCCAACAACAATAGTAGTAGCCGCGTCAGCTCACGAAATAACAGTATGACTGGTACTAATACCATTAATTTTGAAAAATATTGGAAAATATATGATACAATTATCAATTCTCTTTCTCAATGGCAACAATTTGATGATATTCAAGAAAGTCAAGATCAAGCTCTAGACAATTATAACTATAATGACCTTTCATCACCATCATCACCATCATCATCATCATCATCAACAATAACATCAATGCCACAATATCCATTCACTCCGTCGCTACCACTTCAAAAATATTTCCACCAATTAAATTCTGTTCCAGCTTCTTCAATATTAGATCCATGGCAATTTTTTGATTCCTCTTTATCAGCTATTCGTAAAAGTCTTGACCCGGCATTTGAAAGTCAGGATGAAAAACTTGCACAATCAATTGACAAGGTTGTGAGTGATTCAGTACCTTCTTCACTGTACGAAAATTCAAAAGATAATTTTATGGAACAAAAGAAACAAAATGAGCAACCAAAGCTGCTCGGAAAACAATTAAGACACCACCAACATCGACCAAGAACTAAGTCCAAAGTGGAGACTTTTTTGATACATGCCGTACGACCAATATCTGTAGTTGCAAATACCATAACAAATACATTAAATCCTGGATATGCATCCAATTTACGAAATCAGCAGCGATCACAACAAAGTTTTAAACCAATACTTGTCATCAATCTAATTAATTCTGAAATAATACCTGAAAACAATTTATCTCTTGATTTTGTGTTCCGTATCATAAGTGAAGAAGGTGGTCAATATTTGTTTCAAGCCTTTAATTTTGATGATATGAATGATTGGATTAAAGTTATAAAAGGTGCGGAAAAACAAGGAGCAGAAAAACGTCAAACAATATTTGAAACAGAACCAATAATTAGAATTGAAGAAGAAGAAATATCACATGAAGCTGGTTCACGTAATTCCAGTAAGTTTGAAATTTTTATTTTCATTCAAGCTTAATATTAATAATATTGATTTTTTTTAATTTTTAATTTTTTTAGTTTTTGGAAAAGATCTTGAAACATTAATGATAGATGGAAATATCCCAACCCTCGTTGAAAGATGTATAGCTGAAATTGAAAAAAGAGGTTTGTGTGGCCATAAAGAATAAAGAATATGAAGATGATTTTTGATTTTTTGGTTCTTATATTTAATTATTTAATTATTATTATTTATTATTTATATAGGTCTTATAGAAGTTGGAATTTATCGTGTTCCAGGAGCTAAAAACCTTATTGAAAGATTAACGGAAGAATTTAACAATGGTAAAATTATTATTATTTGTATTTTTATTCACATAATGTTAACATTGGTATTTTTATTTACATAATGTAAATATTTATTTATTTCTTATTATAGATGTAGATGCAGTAGATTTGAGTAGTGAAACTTACAGTGACATTAATGTTGTGGCTAGTGTACTCAAACTTTTCTTCCGTTCACTTCCAGAACCTCTTATGACCTATGAATTGTATGAAGAGTTTGTCAATGCTTCAAGTAAATATAATTAAAAAGATTTTGTTTTTTTACATTTACGATTTATTTTATTCATTAACCATTAATTTATATACATATAGAAATTAAAGATCATGATGAAAGATTTTATGCAATCAAAGATCTTTTGTATAAATTACCAAGAGCAAATTACAATTTATTAAAACGATTGATCGAACATTTGGAAACGTAATTATTTTTAATCACTATTTAATGGATTTTATTATATAAAGTAAAATTGATATTTATTTAAAAAAATTTTTTTATAGTGTCACTGATTGCGAAGAAGTCAACCACATGTATGCTGGTAACTTGGCATTAGTATTTACTCCTAATATACTCAAATCACGTGATTTTATAGTTTCAATGGGAAATTTAGGGCACAATAGTGACATTATCAAATGTCTGATACTTCATTATCATTGGTTCTTTGATGTGGAGAGAGAAGTGGAAGAAGTTGGAGATAATGGAGAAATTGAAGAAGGGATAGTTAGAGAGGGTGAAGATGTAGAGGAGGTTGAGATTGAGGAGATGGATGGGTTTGATGTAGAAACTTCAGATGTTGACTTGGATCCAGATTATATATAATTGTGTTGATCATCGATTATTGTATTATTATCATTAATATTAATAGATTGTGTTGATTCGCAAATCGCATTATGATTTAATTTGTTTTTGTAAATAGTATTTAAAAAATTTATATTTTACGCACATAAAATTCATTTAATTCATTAATCATAAATATTTATTTTTTAAATTTTTTTTTTGTTTTTTTTTTTTCAAGTAGATTTTGGAAATATTTTTATATAAATATATTTATTTGTTTTAATATTTAACAATGAAATTTGCATTATTGTTGTTTTTGAGTTTGGTTATTAACGAACTTCTTTGAACACCCTACTATTACCTAAAGGTCGCGCTTAATACTTTTTTTAATCGCATTCGAATTTCGAAATCTTGGATTTTCCAATTTTATATTTACACAGTTTTTTGTAAAAGTGTATTAACGTTTTCAATGTGCATGACCATAATGAGTAATTATTTACTTTCGTTTTCATGAATCAACTTAAAAAATCATAAAGGTGACCTATATCGGTTACGTACTATAATTGATTATGCTCTTCGCTCAAAACTCACATTAATGGTAAAATCCTCTTTTTTTTTTAAAGATGAATTCAAGCTTGGCGAGATAGATATGTGAGTTGTAAATACTCTTTGGACTTATTCCATCCAAAGTCCTGTTTATCTTTACTATTATAAGTTCTGCAAAATTTTCTGGATTGAAGGTTTTGATAATCGAGAATGTGGAGAAATTACATTTGTATTTAGTGAATCCAATTCATATCTTTAAAATTATCCACTTAAAAAAAAAAAAAAAAATCAAAGTTGCGTCAACATGATAATTGTACAAAATTCTAAACACAGATTTTCAAAACATATGAACTTAATACGATCATTAAAATATTTCATAATTCAATAAATAATGATTTATTTTATTTTAATTTTATTATTATTATTATTATTATTACTAATACTATTATTATACATTAATAACTCTAGATAATTTTTGAACACGATTTAATAAAATATCGCCTTGTTTAATTGTTTGTTGATATTGTGCATTCTTTGCATCTGGTCTATTAGTCTCTACAATTCCATTTACTTTATCAATCACACAATTAAGTCGTCCTGCTGCAATAAATTTAGAAATATCACTGATATTTTATTAAAAAAAAAGGAATAATATGGTCAATTAATTGTGATGTAAAGAATTGATTCGATTATTTTTTATTTGTATTAAAAAAACCTACTTGTCAATAAATTCTTCAGATACACCAAACGAACTTGCCATACTTTCCATTGTTAATGATCTATAAGATTCTAAAAGTTGTGCATATGCAATAATCCTCATTTCGCGCACATAAAATCTTTGATGAGAAAAAAGATATCTTGAAGTAAGAAGATGAATGCTTTCCACCTCAGCTATTATTAATATATAAGTAATATCATAATTATTTATTTAATTATTTATTTTGTGAAAAAAATCATCGCATTGTTATAATTAACTTACCAAGTGAAAGGAAGAATTTTGCATAATCACAATTGTAAAGCGAATTAATATAATTTTCAAGATGAGGAATTTCACCTAATACTTCCAAAACTTCTGGTGAATCAATAACCTGAAAATATAATAATAATAATAATAAATCATTTTATTAAAAATATAAAAAAATATAACCTGAAAGGATATAAAAAATAATAATAAATATGATAAGCACATTTTTCTTTAAGTCAACTCTGTTAAGTGAAATAGCACCAGCTAAAACGGCATGTTTTACAAAATCTTTATATTCCATTAATTCAGTAGACATAAATGTTGATAAAGTGTCAAGAAAAAGATTTGCTGCAGTTTTGAAATCACGTATAGATAATCTATAAACTCCCTCGTACACTTTGTGTCGATTACGTCTATCCCAATCACCTCCTTCTTCTATTAAACTTTAATAAAAAGAAAATCAAGTCAATAGATATAAATTACTGCATATATTTATAGATATGAAAATATAATTGATCACCTTTTAGCTTTCTCGATGTTCCTACTAATAAGATCATTATCATTAAAAAAGAATCCAATCCTTACAAAAGAAAAAACTATGTCAATTCTGGATCCTAATCCTGCTGTTTTATCTAATGCAGAATGATAAGCTGATATGGCATTTTCCTATACAATCATATTTAAAAAATTTTTTAATATAAAATTGATTTATATGTGAATATGAGAATTAATAATAAATAACAACGAAAGGGAAAACAAAAAGAAACCTTATCACCAATTTTTGCAAAGTAATTAGCTTTAGCTAATAACGCATCGCTAATTTCTGTTTCACCAAGATTTTGTTCTGCGTCTTGTAACTTTTCATCCAATTTTTGTAACTCTTCTTTATTTGCTTCCTGATATTTTGTAATTAAGGACTTATCAACAGGTATCTTTAGTTCATCAGCTACCAATTGATAAAATGGCGCCATATCTATGTGAAGCCATATCATGTTAATCAGTCAATTATTATATAACATTTATTATAATCTTTACTCAGAAATTATAAAACAATAAATAAAACTTACTATTTTCATCAATTGCTGAAAAAAGTTTTGTCCTAGCATCTTCATGAAATTCCGGTATTTTAGGATTATTTAGGATGAAACGATAATTTGCAAGATCAAGATTTGGAATTTTTGGAATTGAATTATCAGACATAGCAGCAATATTTGTTTTATAAGTAAAAAATTTTTTTACCAATTGACTGGAGTGGCGTAACACGAATCAAAAAACACGGAAACATGATTGGCCAATAAATAAATGCGCATTTTATATATATGGGGGTTTTCTAGCAAAAAACCGTGTATAAGGCCTCCAGACCAAAATTGAGTTTTCTGCATAATATATGTCTATACCACAAGGATTATAACTGGTAAAAATTTTAGACATTATTTACTTAGTACAATAACAAGATATAAGGCTTGAAATATTCACTTTATATATCAAAAACATATGTGTAACATATTTTGCAAAGATCATCACTCAAAAAAATTTATTATACTTATAACCGGTTTTTGCTAGAAAGCCCCCCATATATTAAAATATACAGTCAGACTAGCATAGTGGAAGTTTGTTGTTACATGAAACGTTATACAGAACTCATCGCTTCTGAAACTTCGCCAGTATATAGTTGTTACCTCTCTAAATTGGAGATCAAGTTCAGATCCAATTCAAATCCAGTTTATCACTTACTTTTTATTGCCAGAATGTTTGCCGTGTATTGTAAAGCTACGCTGCACAATATAAAAAATTAATGTAACATTTCAAATTTCCACTATGCTAGTCCGACTCCTATTACTATATAATCACAACTTCGGGAATGTGATTATAACTGAATGTGACTATATAGGGTTTCTCCTATATAATCACTTAATATGTAATTTTAAAAAATTTGGTGATTATAATAAATCTTTTATTTTATTTAACATCTCAAGTAGATAAGATATATAGTAAAAAAATATAATAACAATTATATAAAAACAACAACAAATAAAATGACTAATTAAAAAAACATTCCAGTTTTTTTTGTGTTTTTGAAAAAAAATCCTTCTTACAATCTTTTGTTTAAATTTTTATAATCATTTTCATCAAATTCTGAATCATTTTGCTGTTCAATATAAATGAGTAATTTATTGATTGCTCCCAAGGCATCATTGTCGCCTACAATAGCTTCTGGTTCATCAGTACCCTCGCCTGATTCATCATTTATTTCATTTACTTCATTTAAGATCATCTCAATTATTTCATCTTCATTTAAAATCTCTTTTGTTAAAGTCAATTCATTATTGTTAATAAATTCCAAAACATCCAAATATTTGGCTTATTTAATAATTCATATAGCTTATCTCTATTATTTTGTTCTTCATTGGTTGTTTCTTCGTTTGTAAATTTCTCTTTTCAATTGCTCACCAATAGCTGTACGTTTTTGGGGGGTTGTTTTTTGGTTGAGACATGGTAATGATAATGATGGTAATAATAATGATAGTAATGATAATAACAACAATAATGGTAATGGTAATTACAATGTCAATGGTAACAATTTATTAAACTTTAAAAATTCAAAATTCAAAAATTCACACGAAATTCAAAAAATTTTTTAATTAGCCAATAATATTTACACAGACACATGTATCCATGCAGCCCAAATTGGTTTGATGATTTCAATGGTCAAAATTATTCCAATCTTGATGGTAGAAAGTAGAAATTAATTACGGCACTCACTATTAAAAACATGAGTGTAACACCCCTTTACTACATGTGTAATCCCCTTTATGACAGTGTCAGAATACTTTGGGCTGCATGTATAGTCACATGAATTGGTGATTATATATGATGAAATTTTATATGTTGTAATATGAAAGTGACTATATATGATAAAAAAATTGGGAATAAAAAATGTGTGACTATATGACTATATTGGATGTGACTATATGGGGCATGGACAATAGAAAGGGGGCAAACGTCAAAAATCATGATTTTGAGTTGATGCCATATATATATGTAACTCGTCGCAAGGAACAATTTTAGCTTAAGAACAATACCCACATTACTTAATAAAATTTTGAGATATTTTCTGTTAAAGTTTTTAAAAACAATAGGTAATTACTTGAAATGCAGATCTTTTTTTTCGATTATCTCAAAATCGTGATTTTGACGTTTGGTCCCTTTCTATTGTCCATGCCCCATATATCTACCATTAAGCTATGATTATGAGCTTTATGATTAATGGTGGATGGCCTGCAAATAATTCCCACATTAACATCCCAACACTATAGATATCAGATTCTTTTGTGTTTTTTGTATTAATTTTGCCTCTAAGTAGTTCGGGTGCAACATATGATACAATTCCATAAATTTTATTTCTTCAACTGGTCCACATAATCCTAAACCTGTGATATAACTAAAGCTCTTTGTTTTCTTTGACTAATTTCAAAAAACCAGCTTTTCTTTTTTCTTTGTTTTTATAATTAGGAATAGTTGAAAGAATCTTATTAAACATTTCACCAAAAATTTTTAATACAGATTCTTTGTCTGGCATTAATAATTTATAAAATGACATTTTGGCTTTTAATATTAATACAGTGCGAATCATCTATACTCAAAAGTTAAAATTTTTGGAATATTATGTGATCCACGCATTAGATTTTAAAAACCCCACCATTCAATTAGCTTTAAAAATGATATTTTCGTGTTACAATATTTTGAATCTCACCACCAAATTTGGTGATGATTTTCTTTTAATGTAATATGTTCGTTAAACTTTTTTGTTGTAAAGATCTTTTATTTATAGGAAATAAATAAATCAAATGTATGTTGTAGGAAATATTCTATGAAAAAAATTTGTTACACGAAATTTACTTAGTCTCAATTTCTTAAGTGTATAACAAAATTCGGAATTTTCAAAATGCTAAGGTTCAGCCAATTTTCAGTTTAAGAAAAAACCAGCCGATAAGTTTTGAAGCTTGAGTCATGAACAATAAAACTTATCGGTTAAATTTTTTAAAATGATATAAATTTTTTTTTGTTTTAGTATTTTGAAGTTGACCAATAGTTACTATAAGCAATTAATCTGCACCGTATAAAATTTTTCTTATTATTATTATTATTATTATTATGTGTCCCGTCTATCCGTTGAGACTATATCAAGCAATCCGTTACATTGAGAAGAATTTTATTATTATTATTATTATTATTATTATTATATTAAACCTCAATCTGTTTTATCCATTAAATTGTGATACACTCATTGAGATTCACTGTATTTAATATGACATTAAGAAAAAATTAAGAATCCGGTTTGGTTCGAATTAATTCGATTCGTTCGGTGCCTTAATTTTTGAACTAATAATAACAAATAAAATATAATCATATTTAAATACAATAATATTTTATTATTATATTAATATTAGATTTTCAGAATCCATGAATGATACATATTTGTTACATACTACTACCTACATCCTAAATATAAAGGTTACTTAATTTATTTAATATTAATTAATTTATAATTTTTATAATTTTAAATGATTATATTAATTAAAAATAGGCATTGGTATTAATAAACAATATTTTCCGAAAATTTTAATGCATGCTGAAAGTACTTGGAAAGATTTAGGACATAATCAAGATTCATGTAAAGATCTGTATGCTCAATTACGTAAGTATCAACTTCATTTAGAGCCATACGATACACCCTTCTTGGATAACTTATTCCTGGTGGATGACATGCAATGATCAAACAGAAAACCTCAAGAAACTTGCTTTAAAAATTTTTGCAGTCTGCTTGTTATGAGTGTATATTTTCTTCATTGGGTTGGTTTTACGGCAAGCACTGTCAAAATTATCACTAGAAAAATTAGTAGCAATTGCTAAAATCCACAGATATTATATTAAAAGCTTGAATTTGTGGCTCAGGATAAAATTGAAAATGATGCTAGGAGTCTGATAAATGCTGCATATGATACTCTAGAAGAAGATAATGATGAAAATAATGATTTGATTCTAAAATTACTTCCTGAAAATAATGATGATTCTGAACCTAAGGATGACATTGAATTAGAGTTGGAAAGAATTCTTTTGCATAAACAATAATGGTTATGTTACACCAAATCAAGAGGAGAATACAAACAGTGAAGAAACTGAAGAAATTGAAGATTATGACCCAGCACAATTAGCTTCTAATTACCTAAGTGATTAGAATAATATATTGAATATTTATATATTTAGTAAATAGTCAAAATTTTTTCAATTTTTCAATTTAAATAAGTTTAAATTTAATAAAATTTATAAAATTTATAGCAGTCAATGATGGCAGTGGTAATTACTTGTATTGGTAGTATTGTTTGAAAGTAATGATCATTTGTAACTATAATGGTAATAATTATTTACACAGTTTTCTATGATTGTATCTATCAGAGTAGTTATCCTTCTATCAACTGTTCACGGCAGCCGTAATTATTTGCGGTAAATGGTAGCCATCAATAGCTATTTATGGCAATGGTAGCTACCAGCCCAATCATTTACGGCAAGTGTCTCTAAGCTAGTTCTTAAATGGCGCAATCTAATCAATTACAATGGTGACAAATCAGGAACTTCCGATGCCAATTTCTCTGATGAAGAAAATATAATTATTTCTTCTCGTCCATTTGGTAAAACAACATAACCTGATGGAAAATATTAAATCAAATAAACAAAAATGATAATCACCTAATATTATTTTATCATCTTTCTCCTGTAATTATAATAAGATATAGATTTTCTATTATATGTCGGTGTAACACGATTATTTGAAGGTTAATTGATGCCATGTGAATGTAGTGTCATCACAATAAGTTAAATGGCGAAAATTTATAAAATCCTTGTGATCTTGGTAAAATTTAGTAATTCCTGGAAACACAAGCGCCTGAAACTTTAGTTTTTGCATCACCAATTATTATTTTTTTTTTTCGTTTTTTTTAAATTTTTTTTTTAAATAAAACCTAACAAACATTATTCTCAAAGAAATTAATTCAATTAGTTTCAAAGGGTTTTAATTAATTCGGAAGAGTAAGCATTTAAGTAATATCGATTATATAATTCAATAAAATAATTGAAAGGTAATTGGTTCGAAAGTGATTGGTTTAATGAACAAATTATTTTATTTTACCTATTTATTTATTTATTTATTTATTTATTTATATATTTATATATTGTTAGAGATTTTTAAATTCAAAAGGATGTCACCACGAACAAGTTCACCGCCACCTTGTTGCTATGAAATGTGTGATGATACAACAACTGGACCATCATTCAATTTTAATAATAATAACAAGAATAATAATAATAATAATAAGTTAACATCACAAAACTATTTTTCATACTCACCATCATATTCATCTTCATCTTCAATTCCACCTTCACCTTCGCCTACACCTACATCTACGCCATCTACCAAGAACATCAATATTACATGTGTCAATAATCGTAATATTCGTAGAAATACCAATAATGGTGCTAACCCTAACGATAATAGCGGAAGCCTTAATGCATTACTTCCTCGGTCATTTAATATACCAAAAACTGTATTTTCATCAGCAGTAATACAATTTTTTTCATTAATGATGATATATTCATTTTGTATAACAGCTCTTTGGATGGTATTTTGTACATCATATTTGCTTACATTCTATGATGATTCACGTAGAATATTTTGTACTTCACGAGTTTGGGCAAGAGTGAAGAATGGAGTCAGAGAAAGAATAGCAATGTTTGGAGAGGATTGGGAAGATTTCTTTCAAAAATACTTTGATCAATGGGATGGTGTTGATGGCAATAAAAATGGTCATCTTGGAGGTGGATTGAATAATAATAATAATGGTGGTGATAATAATAATAACAGTAACAATAACGATGAAGATACAGATTGGGAAGACTGGCTAAAAAGTAGAATGTTTAAATTTGTGACAGCAGTTGCAGGTCCAAATATTGCTGATAAATTTAAACAATCGGCTTCAACTTGTCAATCTCAGCAACACAAAAAATAATGTTACTCACAATAACGTACCAATAATGTTAATCAACGAATAATAGGCAAAGTGCATAACTAAAAATAAAAATTAAAGATTTATTCTTTCATTGTTTATATCCATTTATTTTTATATATATACACATACATATGACATATATATATATAACATATTTATTAACCATTAACATATTTTATTTTTAATATTAAATAAATATATAAATAATTAGAGTGAACTTAGTTTCACGAAAGACATTTGAATTTCTCCCCTTCTTTATCTTGAATTTACTTTTTTTTAAAAATAAATTATTGATTCGCCAAGTTATGGCCCTATTCTTCAAACAATTTGCTGAAATTGGTTCAACCAAAAGTTGCCGTGCATCCGATCAAAGAATAGATCAATGGGGCATGGTTTAATTTCGCTTGATGCTTTCCTCGTATTTTATTTTATTTTTTTTTTTTAGAAATAACTGACCTGAAAGTTCGACATTATGTTAATTAATGAATTATCAAAAATATCCATAATTAACATAATTCTATCTAAATAAATTTCTCAAATACTAGAAAACGACATTCTTCAAGATTTCCCTAAAGGGGGTAAAAATTCCACGGATTTAATAGTTTTTGTTGAACTTTTATTTGTAGAGAAAATAATAATAAATAATAATAATGGACAATCAATTATCAGTTTGTAAATCTTTGCTATTGTATGGAAATTAGAAAAATTAACAACTATAGAGATTTAAAATTAAGAATGCTTTGAAGCGCATATTTCTGAGAGAGGAAGAATCGATCGACATGTCTATTTAATTAATTGGTTAATAGTTATATCATACGGACACGTGTCAAATCATTCAATATTTCATCTATCATTGAAGTAGTGGTTTTAGTATGATAGAAGCATTTATCGAATGTAGATAAGAGATAATTTTATAAATACTAGTTCAGTTAAGTTCAATATTCTAATGTTTATTGATAATTTGGAATTGGAGAATTTGGGAATGATGACTCTTTATCTATACAAAATGATAAATTAGCAATGGAATCAATTGTTCATTAATATTTTACAGTAATTTTAACAACCATAGTAACAGCAATATTGTTAGGTAATAATAATGTAAATGATAATTAAATAAAAGTGTATTCTAGAATATTATTATTGAATCACTACAGTGGATTTGTATTATTATTTCTAAGGTATTTATTATTTTATATTCAATAAAATTTTTTAACAATAATCACTAATAAATCAATCTATCTATCTTTCAATTGATCAGGGAAGAAATAACAACACACAAAAAACATTATTTTATTTGCCACATGATGACAATAAGAATAAAAATATCATTACTTATATTTTGTTAACATCAAGTTCTGAAATTCTGAGAACAGTATAAGTTTGTTTATGTGTAATTCGTTTTCTATGACGGTTTCTACGCTTTTTCTTAAATTTTTCCAGAAATGGGCCCAATGGTTTCTCAACCACGACTGCTTTAATATTATAAAATGCATTTGATATCAAAGGTTTACCATATACTGTGAAATCTTTTGATCCCAACTCCACCACCCTATTCAACCTTATTTCATCTCCGATATTCAAATCCCTTATTCTGTGACAAATCACCAAATCATTCTTGGTTATCAGAAACTTTTGTGATTTAATCTCCACAACTGCATAATATTTCAACTGATCTCTTAATTTTCTCAATGATTCTATTGTAAATTCTGAATACCCTTTCACATCCATACCACTATTCTTCTTATTCTTATCATCACTTTTTAATTTAGTTGATAAAGTTGAATTATTTGTTGAAAATTTAAAATTAATCAAATTTTTACATTGTTTATCTATAATATATATATATATATATGCACATATTGTAAATGTTATGAATATAAATAAATAAAATAAAATATCATTATTATAATCAATTACCTTGATTAAATTTCCTGAATATAAATTTCCTTGATATTGATATTTGATTAAACAAAAATGAATTGGAAAAAATAGAATTAAAATATTTCATATTTTTATAAAAAAAAATAGATCAGCATAATGATAATCATTTATTTATACGAGAAAGAAAAACAAAAAAGAGTGAAAATATATTAAACACCATAAATAATCATCTAAAATTATAAAAATATTAATCTATAACAATTAATTAGCGAGGACACTAAAACATCATCTGATTCATTTCCTAACACTTTGTTCAAGCCTGTCAATGTCCTTCCAAGATTTCACACCCATGATAACACAATACTTAATTAGTTTCTTTGCTTTTGTCTTTGGATGGATTCCTCCTTCTCAATCTAGTTTTTCGGATGCTTTATTGGAATCATTCAATGCCACTTTTTGAAATAATAAAGAATCCCTCTTGCAACATATAATAGCATTTTATCACCAAATTTTTTGATACCAAAGATCTTATAATTTAATTGATAGTTCTGCATTCGTTTGCATGATAACCATCTCTGAGTAATTATTTTCTTGTTTAAAATATTCAACACAAATTTTGTGTGAATCGAGTGCCAATGTATTATTTGATTCTATTTCAATGCTTTACATAAATCATTGATTGCATAATGTTTTCAGGTATGGAGCATATATATCATTTGTCTGGTTGAAGATCAAGAACAAAGTCCAAATCTTTGAGTGCTTTTGGTTTCTCGCCATGACTTAGTAAAATTTCAGCCCAATCACATCTATCGGTATATGCTGTGTGTATGTTCTAAAGCTTTTAATACATATTCAACCCAGTTAATACAAATCAATGTGACTCTTAATTTTTAGGTTTGGGTTTAGAGTTTAGAGAATTCAAGGTCATGGCATTAATCTGAACCCCGCAATCTGAAAACCATTAAAGTGAATGAATTTTAAAACACACAAATTTACCCAATGTTGTTATTAAAGATGGGAACCACAATTAGCTGCAATTCAATTTTTATATGCCGCAATTAATTGAGAAGCCATCTTTAGTCATTATTAATACAAATATGTGACTGATAATTAATAAATAGATGGATGGATGAGTACTGATAGTAATTCATTAATAATGAATGTTCAGATGGTTTTTCTTCCGGTAGCAAAAAGGAAACAACCAATTGAAGCAAAAGAAAAAACACATCCTAAAAATAAAATCTAACTTTAAATTTATTATACAAAAAACCCCCTGCTGAATAAAATTTTCCACGCAAATGCCTTCGGTTTGACTTGGTTATGTGATTTTTTGTCCATTTTTTCATCATGATAGACAATATTATTTTTATAACCAGCATTTTTAATATATTCCAATTGCTTCTGTCACTACCACCATATTCTTTTTTTGATTTAGCTGTTTTTTTATCAAATCGATCAGCAATTGAATCCAATAAATTGACCATCACTATCATCAGCATTTTCTAATACATTCGAATTTTTTCTGCCACTACTGCCATGTTCTTTTTTTGATTGTCATTGTCTGTCCTTTTATCTAATAAATCAGTAAATGAATTCAATAAATTGGCTATGTTGTTTTTATCACTACCATCAGCATTTCCTAATGTTAGATTGTTTCTGCCACTGCCACCATGTTTTTTTCTTTTTTGTTAAAAGTTTCAATGAATCAAATAAAACCAATAAATAGGAAATATTAATTTTTGCAATATTTTGAACCCAAGCAACAATGAAGTAGAGTTTTTTTCAATTTTATTAATAAAAAAAAGCCTCGGTGCACGATTTTACTATCAAAAAATGAAATTTGGCATTGGGTGTTCTTTCCTATCGAGTAAAAGATCTTCTAAACACGTAACCAAAATAAAATTATAAAATTCCTATTTTTTTTTTGTAAGTAATCAACAAACAATACATTACTAACAAATTTACATTCTTCCAGTTAAAAAAAGACCAAGATGAAATAAGCAAATTCCACATATGAAAATTAATAATTATAATGGTTCTAATGAATACCAAAAAGACAATTGATTTTTTTAAAAAAGGTTGTGGCTGTTCTCAAGCATTCCTAAGGAAAAATTTGCAGGATTAAGGGAATCTTTCCAAGCTCTTTCTAAGTCTGAACAAGACATATTTTCAATGGCTTAACTTAATGCAATAGATGGTGGATCAATTAGCACTAGCAGTTGCCTTAAAAAAACCCCAGATCTAATAAAAGAACTTTCTATCACTGGGATCACAATATATCCCTTTGTCAAAAAACTTATTTAATATGTTAGGGATTAGTAGAACTTATTTTGAAAATATCAGAAATCATCTGATAAACCATGATCTTTTAACAAGAGTTCATGGTAATATTAAAAGGATGCCTCAATGAAAATCTAAAATGGTGATTGATAGAAATGTTGTTGAAATTGTAAAGAATTTATACAGAAATCCATGGATTACCAAGCCCAGGCAAAAGTACCTATAGAATAACTCAGTCAGTTGTCTTTTTATCAGCTGAAATGAGCTACAAATCATTGCACAGAGATTTTCTGGCTGGTCTGGAGGAAGATAGCAAATTGAAATCTTTAAAATATGATGCATTTAGAAAATTATGAAATCAGCTAACACTAAGGTTTCCAGTTCAAACTGTTTTCTCAAAGCCCAAACTAGTTTGGGCAATTTGGGTTTCTCAACATTTTTTATAAACATGAACATTAAAAAGCTATGCCAATCAACTTATTTTAACTTAAATAACTTTAAAGTAATTTCGTCCAATTTTGGCTAATAACAAAAAATAGTTTGGGCTTATAAAAAAGTAATTTTTGCCCAAAGTGTTTTGGCAATTTCGGCTACTAATAAAGAGAGTTTCAACTGGAAACCTTAGCTAACACCAGAAATTCAAATTATGAGTCCAAGGACTGATTTGTGTGATGCTTGTCAACACTTTCGAAATGGTTTACATTACAATGCTCACCAAGAGGAAAAAGCCAAAGAATTACTCAAAAGATTTAAAGAACATCTATCCAAGGCTAAATTAGAAAGAAGTTATTATAATAAAAACACTAAATTAGCTAAAGAACAAAGAAAATCAGTTAATCAAAATTATTCAAAGGGTACAACATACAGTATTGTGGTGTCAATGCTACTGCAGATTATACACAGTGAATCTCGATTTAACGGATCTCGATTTAGCGGATACTAATTAAAAATCTCGGTTTTACGGATAAAGTTCAAAGAACGGTTTCATAATAAACCTTAATAAAAACCTTCTCGATATAGCGGATATCTCGGTTTAACGGATTTTTGGAAAATTTTCCCTAATTGCCCAAACTATCCGTTAAATCGAGATTCACTGTGTAGTTGTAATTGAGCCCAAAATGTTCATGTATCACACTCAGATCAACAAGTAAGTAAAATCCATTATCTTAGTCCATGTAAAGGTGGACAAAATAAAAATAATGTGACTATTTGATTTTATTTATATTTGGTAATTTGTGGTTATTATAAAATATTGAATTGAATTTCATGATTCCTGGACATACTAAATTCAAATGTGGTATGGTTGGCTCGGTCTGAAGACCTCCTATTGCTGTGCCATGTGGCCAAATTTCAAAAAATAGCAATTTTGCAATTCGTTCAAACCTGCCAAATTTAGATACGATAGTCAAGAGCTAGCCTAAATTTAGTAACAATTTTCTTAAATTTAACAATGATCCTAGTGCTTAAATTCTTCATGAACATAGTAATAGTAAAGTACATGTTTTAAAAAAGAATAGAACATAGAACTCTACAACAAATATTTTTTTTGAGAAAATCTCTCTATTACATTAAAATTAACGACCTATTTTATCAACTAATAGAGCTATTTTTAAAAAGGTTGGACAGAAAATGACTTCTATACTTTTTAAAGTTACACAAAATTTAGGAGGCCTTTAGACCGAGCCAACTATACGATGCTTGAGGGCATTTACTTTAGTAAATCACAGGGTAGATATTGTGTAAAGTTTTACAGCATGGTACCCCTACTTACATATAGGATTGACATATACTAAAATGTTGCCTATTGGTATAAAATTGAAAATAATGAAAAAAGTGTAGTGCATTAATCACCAAGTCCCAAGCGAGAGAAAGTGATTTCTTTGAATTGATTTCATTTATAACGATAGTATCATTTAATGTAATAAAATGACAAGTTTTAAAATTATTAAATTCAATCATGCTATATACAAATAGAAATTTTCTATATATGAATTTATTGCTATTATTTAAATAGATATCTAAAAGACAAAAAATAAAGAAATACTGAAAAAATCAATAAAATAAAAAAACAACATTAATTTTGTACAATTATATAAGCGTGATTTAGTGAATATTCCAATTGGGATTTTGAAAATAATGAAAAAAGAGAAAATAAGTGATAAAATCTACAATCTACAATCTATCTACGATTACTATACTTGGTTTATAGACCTAATGAAAAAAAAAAAATAATAGTTAAAATTATGTAAATATCAATGTTAAATTTTGTAAAATAATTACCTGCTAACACTTTCAAATAAACGTTCTATGTCTGCGGCACATCTTGTAAATGAATGGCTCCAGAAATTATATAGAGGATTTTTGATCAATTCTATAAAAGTAATTAAAAGCCCCCATGGATGTGGTCTGTTCACAATCAACCTTTCCAATAAAACCCTAATAATGATCAACAAAATGAATCAATAAGTTGTAAGGAAGCAAATTGATCATTTTTAAGTGAATAAATCAAAGATCTATACCTTGTAACTTGTTCTTTGATCCCCTCTTGCTTTCCTTCTGCAAAGATATACAATAAAACACAACTAAAATAATGTGTATGACTATTGGGATACCGAAGCTGATTTGCAATGGCACTCAAAAAATAATAGCGACCTAATTAAAACAATTATTTTTATAAGTCAGTAACTATTTTAATAGTAAAAGTCATGATTGATCATGTAAATCAGATAATCAACCTTCTGGATCAAGATCAACAACTAATTGTTTATAAATATCCATAGATAGACTTGTTGTAATTAAAGTCCCTTGAAAATTATCATAAACATCTTTAATACCAACATAAAGAACAAGAGCATTGAGGAGTGGTATATTATACTTGGAGACAATAAGAGCTGTATCTTGTTGACTAGTGCCTAACAACAGCTTATCATGCAATTTCGTTAAAAAATTAATCGGTGAATGTAATTTTAAATACTCATCAACATCGTCTTTAAGGCAATGTGTTATTAAAGCTGAAGTGTAATCAGATAAAATTATCGGTGGTTGCGATATTTCTGGTAATAGATCCACTTTAAGGTTTGGTGTAAAAGGATCTGGCAACCTCATAGTGCGTGGAAAGGCACTCAATATAAGGTTCCTTAATTGAATACATGTTGACGGAATCACGTCACAAAAGCTTAAATGATAACCAGAAAGAAATTCTGGAAAATCATGTAACAAAACAAGTAAAATACGTAATGTCCCTTTGTATAATAAACATGTAGTATCTTTCATCTCAACATTTTGAAGGAATGGAACCAGAAATTTAAATAAGCATAGGAGTAAATTATGGAAAGTAGACCATCCCTAAATAATCAATCAAATGAATAAATACTAATGTAATTTCAATATATAAGAAATAAAAAGTCTACCTTTTGATTCTCTGCTAATAATAATTTTGGCATGAATAGTCGATGCGAAATCAATGAAAACCATGCAAAAGTGAATCCAGGGAAAAAGGAAGGTTGTAAAGTATGAAATGTATTACTGTTGTTTATCATTGTTGTTGTGAGAGTTGTTATGATTAAAATATATACTTTAGTGAATTTTTATATATTGAAATAAAAAAAAGTGACGAACCTTAAAGCTAGAAGGATTTGAAAATAAATCGATTGAAATTGCTGTTCATAAGAATTTAAATCATTTAATAAATTTGAGAACAATCGGAAGAATGGTTTTTGATTGAATTGTTGACTATGTTGTTCATGTGCCTGTGCTAAAATCAGTATTACTATTGACAGTATCTTTGTCAAGTAAGAAATTTTTGCAACATTATCATCAATACCCTCAGGGTCTGTGTGGTATTTCACCAATAGAACAATAAGTTTAGAAAAGGCATCAATTGCTTGATAAGCCACAGCAGGTGTAATTTGGTGGAGTGATCTTTGTTTTAGGTAAATCTCTATGCTAGTTTCAGTGCAAACCCTAAAGAACATTGAAGATATTTCTTCCCCTTTTAACACCCCTTGTTGTTGTAGCCTCTATATATAACAATATCAACGAATATGATTAAAGAAATTTTTTTTAAATGAACATTTATAAAATATATTTTAATATATATAAAGCAAAATAATGTATAATTTTACCTGAATAAAACTAGTATAAGCCTTTTCACCTGAAGATGGATCCTGATAAACTCTAATCCATTCTGTAAAGAAATGTGCTAGTTGATCATGCAATTCGATTTCATCAATATTATTAATAACAATATTATTTCTGATAATACGAGGGTACAAATCATCCAATAATTGTATAACACTTATGAAAAAAACCATATATACTTAATAAAAATTTTATCAATATATATAATAATAATTATAATATATCACTTACGCTTCAGTTGCTTTGCCCCTTTGAGTAAGTCGGGTTAAAGCATCTAATGAATATATAAAATCATTACGAGTAGCACATGGTGGATCTTTAAGAACACATTCATGAATTAATTTTGTTGTAAAGTCTATAACAACAGATCTTCCATCTTCAATCAATTTAGCAAGCTGTAAATCTTGATCAACAACATTGACGAGACCAGCTTTGATCAATAAAATGACCACAGGCACAATAAATTTACGCTACACAAATAATGTAAATTATTAATTAAAAATTTTTTTTAAATTAAAAACATCAAATAATCATATACAAATATATAAATTATTATATTACTACATACTTCGTCATCAGAATATAATAACCATGCTGTAACTTCTTTGAAAACTTTTAGAGAAATTTCACAAAGCTTTTCAAGCAAAATAACATAAACTTCTCGAGAAAAATTAAAATCATTCTTATATAAAAATTGCATGATTTTTTGTGAGAACATCAAAGCTGTCTCATCACGGTTATAGGTCTGAGTTGCCAAGATTGGTATTTCTTTAACCAGAATGCATATTTCATGATTAGGTGGTAAAGCTGACCAAGAAGCTTGTGGTATTTTGTTGACTAATTTATCCAATTCAGAAAGATACAACTAAATGGTAAATAAATACATAAACAAATAAATATGATTGGTTCCATTTTTGTGTTAATATATTCTTTAAATTTGTTTAATTACAATAAATTTTTCAAAACTTTGGTGAAATGTAATATGCGCTGGAACTTGAGATACTGCTGCTGTAGAAACAGCATCATATGGCATTTCTACCATAGTGTATGGATGATTAATTTGGAAGTCTTGTCTAGACATAGCCGATCTAGGGGCATGTTCATCTAAATTGTAATAAATATGAAATAAAGTTGTTAAATAATTATTTATATTTATAGATCTAATTTATTTCCTATTTACCATATATTGAAGCAGTCTGATTATTGAAATGCAGGCTTCTTCCAAAGTCTTCATATACACGTAGTTGTTGTGGCTGCAATCCATTAGGTTTTAAGTGTAAAGGGTCAGGTAGATTATTAGCAAATCTTGAGGCACCAGAATATATTGACATATCATAATATGGTTGGCTAGTTCTCTGGAAAAAAACTTTTTGTGTGAGTATTGATTATTTAATATTTGAAATATACACATAAAGATAGATATAAGATAAATAATCACCTCACTGTGTTTTTTACGATTACTAAATAAAGATGACAATGCTTCATCAATCTCAGGCACCGCTTTATCTATTGCCGCTTTTTCAATAACTGAACATGCCAACTCAAGGTTATCAGAAACAAGAATTAAAATTGCTTGTTCAACGTTATTTTGCTATAAATCAAATAGCAAATAAAGGCGTTATCATGAATATTGAATAAAGTTAATAATATTAAAAAATTTGCAAATAGAAAAAATGATTTTACCTCACTATAAATATTTTCCAAAAATAAATTTCTTAGATGTGTTGCCATACTGATTTTAAGAGGTTCTTTACATGTAACCAAGGCTAGGCTTCCTGCTAAATTTTGTACCATTAAATGTGCAGCATTGCGCACTTTTTCCTCGTTTGGTTCCATAGCAAAATCCTTAATAATTAATTCATGGGTGGAAATGCTTGCAATACTAACAGATCTTTCAACTACAGGAGTAATAATCTTTTTACATTTCAAAAATTATTTATTATGAATTTAAAATCAAAATTAAATGAAATAAATTTGTATTTTTTAAAAAAAAATTAATATAATATACCTCTCTAATTGCTCTATCAATAGCCAAATAAACGATTTTTCTCAAATTGGGTTGATTAGCAAATATAGACAATGTAGGGTTGAATGTAATATATTGAGAAATATTTGAAATAATATCATCTTTAAAAGAATAATTAAATGGTTATAATAAAATATATAATCACATAAATATATATATATAATATAGCGTTAGATATTCTTATATTCATACTAACCATTCAAAGGTAATGAAGATGGAGGATTTTGTGTAAGTGGAGTACTTGGTGGCCTAGATATTTGATGTCCAATCTTAGAAGAGTTATTTGTAGGCCATTTTTCAAATTCTGGTGAAGGTGGTTCTGTTTGTAAAACAATTGATCCCTTTGGAGGACGATTGTTGAGAATAGTTGTTGGTGTGATATCTTTGAGCTCAATATTCAAACTCTTACACAAAACCACAACTTCAAATTTCAAATTTAGTTTTAACTCTACGTTGTAATACAATTCCACCAGGAGTTTAATGATTGCCATCGACCATGGATTTGGTGGTTTAAAAACTTTACTGTTTCCTGCTTGTTCAAGGACTTTACAGACAAATGGAATAACCACTATCAATCTATTACTATCATAACCTTGTATTAGTAATTCCTATAATGAATTTTTTTTTGCTGTTAAAATGGAGAAAAATTAATTTGTAATGATGATAATAATTATTAAACATACCTTGAATGCTATATTCTTATGTCTAATAGGTTTGTTTTTGGCAAGCGTCAGACTACCAAGCCAAGATCCAAGATTTTTTAATAAAGACCTTTCAGATGAAGAATGTACTGTTTTTTCGGAATTCAATAATACTTTAATGTTTGAAAAAGTTTCATGTAAAATATGATAATAAAGTTCTGGTACTTCAAGAGCATCAAGGAATTGATTATAAAGTTGATGATAATTCAATTCAATACTAGCTCTTTTGACAACCATATAATTAGCAAACCATTTATAATGTGATTCTTTAAGAATTACTTTCATTTCAGCAACTTTAGTTTCAAAGTTATTTTGAGCAACATTATTAATAATAAAAAAAATTTTATCTTGAATTGCTTCACTCGGAATTTCGTAATCAGCTTTGTCAGCTGCTAAAAGTGTGTCCAGAGTTAATGCTGTAAAAATTGGTTTGTCGATTGCTTTATTTGATTGTTTAGTGTAGTTTGTAAAATCATTATTTATACTGTTTTTAACAGGTTCCTGTTCAAAACTAATACTACTACTAGCAACATTACTTATACTATGGTTAGAATTATTGTTGTTCTTGTTGTTGCTGATATTATTATTGTTGTTATTACTATTATTGCTATTACTATTATTGTTACTGTCGTTATTGTTGTTTTTGTTTTTGTTACTGTTCTTGTTGTTGTTATCACTATTGTTATCATTATCATCATCATCAATAATATTTAATGGATCAGTATCAATGTTGTTTTTGTTATCGTTGTTGTTATTGACAGCATTCGCAGAAAGAGCAGATTTAACATATTGTATAATATCTGGATGAGATTGTTGTAATTGAGGAATTTGCAAAAGATGTGAACAGTATTGCGGCCATTCGGGAAGCCTTGATTGAAATTGAATTAGTGCTTGAGTTCCGAAAATATAAAATTTAGAATCTACAGTATTCTTAAGAGCACTTAGTATATATCGTAGAGCAACACCAAGCGTTACATATCCCACAAGTTGATATTTAATGAGAGATCCAAAAATGATACTTGTTAGATTCAGTTCTCTTTGAGGATATTTTGGTAAGAATTGATACTCATCAAATAAATTGTGTATCATACAAGAGAAAATTTCAGATTCTCGAGAATCCTGAGAATTTTTTAATCTTTGTAAATCTTTAATCATATCATCGATTTCTATTTCTTGGCGATAAACTTTTTCAAAATATAGATTGGCAATCTCTTCAGTTTCAGCGGGAAAAGATTGTTCTAATTGAGGAGGAATACTAACATCAAGTGGAATAATGCTAAGAGATGGGTATATTTGTGCTAATTTTTTACGAATTTCCTTAAAGTATTCTTCATTTTCTGGAGTCATATTGCTTTAAAAAAAGAATAAGTGTAAATATTATCTAATATTGTATTTATGAATACAATATTAATTTCTTACCTATTAGAAATAACCCTTAAAAATTTAAGAACAACTTCATCTGTTAAGCGAACAGCTTGATCGCTACCATTTACTTCATGAGTAATTTCTAATGCAATCTTTTGTTTAAGAAATTCCATACAATCATGGGCAAATTTGTCGCCATGCTTGTCAAGTTTTTCTTGGAGCCATTTTTCCAAATTTAGGTATTCTCTTCTAGATGCAAGGGCTGCTAAATCGATAGTAAACAAGAAATATTGAACTTCTAACAATGAATTTAATACCTATAATAAACAGGCAAACAAACACACATATATATGTTATGTGTTAAAATAAACAAAGTTATTTTTAATAAAAATAAGGATTAATGATAATAATAAGGTAACCTTTAATTCTTGTGATACATCTAATAATCTTGTAATAGTGAAATGATCTTTTCTGTACATTTCAAGGCAACTTTCAATAAAAAGTTTATTGTCAATATGCCATAAATAAGATAATACCAATGTTGAATTAAGGTGACTTGTCAAAAATGTTGATATTAATCTGTTGACAAATTCCATATGTAAAGAATTCCATGGTTTCTATAATAATAGACAACAAAATAATTATAATTATAAATTGTTCTAATTTAATAGTAAAGTGAATTTGTTTAGATATGAATATATACCTGAATTTGAGCTAGACCTAAACATATTAATTCCGGAGCCTGCTTAATTGATAGCTCAAAGGTGACCTTAACATCTTCATGCAAATCAGAATCAGCCATTCTTATCAATGTTTCAACTAATTCAAGTGAATTCCATGGACAAGATGTCAAAATTCCAGGCAAGGATTTTAAATGCGTGAGAGAATTAGGAAAATCGTTAGTGGTTAAAACTTTTTGAATAGGATAATCGTTAATGTTAAAAGCATTTGATGAGAGTTGTACAAGATGACGTAAAAAACTAAATTGCCCTTTGAGATTATTCCAATTGCCCCAAAATAAATGAATTGGAAAAGGTTGCTGATCCTAAATATAAAAAGATTTTTAATAATTATATAGAAATCTAAGTATATATGTGTGTGCGTTCATATCTATGATAATTGATTACCTTTACAGCTTTTCTAAAACCAGTTAAAATTAGTTGAACTCCTTTAATATCTTTAATAGTAAATTCGGGGTAGTCGAGTAGTTTTATCACCTTTACCCAATCTAGGTGAGGTTGCTAATGATGGTGATGGTGACGACAAAAAGTATGAATAAATAAAAACATTATTGTTGAATAAAAAATGCAGCCATCATTTATAGCTAATAAGTAGGTAAGGAAAACTCACCAGTTCGGATAAAGATGAAACAAATATTTCCACATTCCAATTTTGATTATTATTATCGGAAAGATCTTTTGATTGATTCCAAGGAACACTGCCACTGTCATCACCAAAATTGGCAGTTGTGAGTGCCATAACACCAAGTGCACGAGCAACTTCAACCTCTTTAATGATTTCACCAGATGCAGAAGAATTAACACCTAATTTAGCCAACACTTCATTGAATAAGTCAGCAGTACTACAACATTTACTACCCAAATCTAACAGAATTTTTGGTAAAGTCAAATTGTTGTTTTGATCAATATTATCATAATTGCCCATTATGGTTTGATATTTTTGACTAAAAAAATTAATAAAAAGAAGAAAAATTCTCAGATTATCGTATAAATAAAAAAAATATAATATATATAAATTAGAAATTTACTCACGTAGTTGTGGAAAGAATAAATGGAAGATTGATTTCTTTGCTTTCCAAAAAACTATCTAAATTAAAAACTTTAAGCTGGTTGTTGTTACTGATCGAATTACAAAATATATTTAAAAGTAGTGGATCAATAGAAATTTCTTTGATTTTTTCGATCAAAAGATGATTTAATATCTCAATATTCTGATTTCCACTGGATAAAGTACTGATTGCAAGTTGTCGTAATAAATAAAAATAAGTGTCCTGACCGTTATATTTTGACAGCTTGAGAGTTATTGTATATATAAATCAAAAATTGAAAAAATCTTTTTATTAATTAAATACATATATTTGTGTATGTGCGTGTATAAATATCTTACAGTGTTAAGCTCTGTTAGAGATTGAACGTAGTTATCAACGGAAATCCTCGATAGTAAAAAAGAAATTTGAGCTTTTACAATAATAGTAAGGTTAGTACGAGATCTGTATTGATGAAGAAAGTTGGACAAGGACAAAGATAGAGACAAAGGCAAAGTTGGCAACTCGGAAGGTCTTGCTGTTGAATAAATATTTGTAGAAGTGTTTGTGTTATTAGTTGTGTCACTGTTCATAATGGGGAGGAACGCATTATTCTCCTTGCAGAAAGATGATTTAATGACGTCATTAATATTTATAAATGAATTTTGTTGATCGGGAAAAATTTCTTTAAGGAAATATTAATATCATTTACACACAGATAATTATAGTAATAGTGATAACAATGACGAAGAAAAGAAAGACCAAGATAATGGTGATAGTAATAGCTTGAGAGATCTAAAGATATATGAAGGATTTTTAATGATAATTCGTACAAAAATTGTGGGGACATTAAATTCAAATCATATTAGAATCTCAGCTTCTTTGTTATACAATTGCGTGTTTATTATATATTTAATTCTACTAAAAATAAAATAGTTTCCTCTACACTTTGGACCTTTCACGTAATTGGTGGTTAGAAATAATGGCAAGAATCATTTCCTATACGCCGAAATTTCATTGCACGTGCTTTTAAAGGAATTCACGTTCAAAAAACAAATTTTTTTTTGTACAACACTATATGCGTCAAAAATTTCTTTTTAACAACAAAAATATCCAAAAAGGAATGACAACGAGACTCGAGAAGCCGAAAAACAGTCACCTGAGTAAGTATTGTCAGAGAGATGTTAGGAACCATTAGTTCAAAGCTCTATTTAATTATAAACTTTGTTTTTTATTCACTGAAGATAAAGGAAACGATATTTAGTGTCCAATAGTGCACCATTATTCCACGTAATCATTTTTTTTAGGAGAGAGTGGAAGGAAAGGGCAAAAGTATTAGCAAAAGAGACTGTTCGATTAAAGAGAAGAAAATTAAAGAAATTAGAGGTGATAAAGATCACACAAAGCAAAAGCTGGGTTATACATTGTTTGATAAATATACAAAAATTATTTCACTCATTCCATTTCTTATCCATTTGAATGATCATTTGATATACTGTTTGCAACTTTAATTAACTTGTTATCCATTTCTTCTCTCATCTTCTCATTTATTCACCATCACTATTTCCTTACACCATTGAATGTTAATTAGGTATTCATTACTAATGTATTCAACTACAGCTACTTTGTTTTTATTTTATCCATTTGTCTCTTTATTTTCTTCTACTACTCATTGTATATTACATGCGTAGGAAAAAGAAACAGTTATTTTCTTCTTCTGATGAAAATGGAAGCAGGTACCTTTCATTGAAATATTCGTACACTCTCTTAATCTTGAAAATATTGAAATTAACAAAAAATTCAGTGATTTTTCATTTGCTTTTTTCTGGAAGTGCTGGAATGATTAAATTCTGGAGAGCTGCTTTATTATTAGTAATTTAGTCAGAAGTCAAGTTCATTTGCCATCCAGATTGTGCGAATATCTTTGGTAGTGAGGATTTTGGGCACAGTTTCATAATTTGCGAATGTTATACAGATTTGTGGAAATTGATCACTGAAGATAAAAAACATAATGGATTGATTGTCACAGGAAATCCTGGCATTGGAAAATCAATGTTTGGCTGTTTTCTCTTGATATATTTGGCTAAACCAGCATAAAGTTCAATTTAATCATCAATGACATGTTTTTGGAGTTTAACATTTGTAATCAAATAGATAACTTTGAAATCATAGGGAAGTTGGATTTTTTTTGGAGTTACATTTGCACAAAATGTTTTGTTCGCTGGGTGTTTTATTTGCAATTATTCAACGTTTATTAATAAAACATAAAATTAATATAGAGGACAGTGTAGCATTCATGTTGAGTCCCATCTCCTAGCTTATAACTCCTTATTGAAAAGAAAAAGAAAAAAGTAAACCAATAGAATTAAAGCTAAAGATCTAAGCTTCATTTCCATCAGTTCACTTTTTTTATTTTATTAGAAAAGTTTCGAGTTATAAGGCTTCAAAGTTAGGTCATTTTATATATGTAAATTGTAAAATTTCGGAATGATCTTCCTTTGTGATTTCCTAAAATGCTGATGATCAGCTTAAAATTTTCCGTGATACAGAAAATCTTTCCAATAAAAGAAAACTCATTACTTAAATTAGAAAGAACTTCTAAAATTTTAAATTTCGGACTACGACATTTATAGATGACTTGAACCATATCATTAGTTATTTTAGTAAGATACCAATTTCTTGGTTTTTATGTGTTTTGCGATTTTCCTTAAATATCACAAAATTTTATTAAGTGGTATGGTTTCTAATCTCCATGATGAAATTGCATATAAAAGGTGTTATTAACTCAAATTTGATTCCTGGGTGAGTTTGGTGTGTTTCTATTGTCCATGCCCATATATTTAATTTGATAATCTGAATGTTAATAGGTTCTTCTTGCTTGTAATTCATGGGAAGATTATCTTTGGGGAATATTAATATTAATAATAAAAGATCACCAAAGTTTCAGAAAAAACACTTGAAAATCATTTTGCATGCCATTACTATTATTATTCCAAAAAATTTCAAGAGGTCATTGATTGAATGAAATTTGGATACTTTAAAAAAATGTCAAGTCTAGGTGGACTGTCCTATAACTAATTAATTTTACAATTATTATCATTATATAATATTATACATTAGTGACAAATATTTATGGCTCATTTATTGGTGTACAGAAAATCAAAATTACAAGACCAAAGAATTAGAACTTTCTAGAAAAAAATTTTTCAATTTTTGAAGAAATGTAGGTTATTCATTATTAAAATTTTTTTATAAAGATTTTAAAATTTTCTAATTGATGATGATTATTACATTCTAATTAAATATCAATTTAATCATTATTAAAAATTAAAAAATGAAGAAAATATGGAATTGGCTGATGAAAAGAAATGAGATAAAAACCTTGAAAATGGATGCATCAAAAGAAATAAAACATTTACTTTTAAGAAAAGAAGACATTTAAATAAATAAAAATGTCACATGTGATAATTTGATGTAATTGGTGTTGTCAGTATTCTTGAAAGATTTAGAGAAATAATATTAGGTTATGATGAATTGTCAATATATCACATAAAGCATTAACAAATACCAAGAAATATCAAGAATGGTAATAGATTCAGGAATCTCTAAAAATACTGTATGTAAAATGTACTTGACAAATTTTTAACACATTTATCTCATTCTTTTTTAGCAATATTCTCCTCTCTTTCTGCAAATATATAATTCTTGATTGAATATTTGAATGAATCTTTTAACAAAAAACCAAAAAAAAATTTATTATAATTAAATAATAATATACAACAAAATTGTACTAAAAAAACACTTTGATATTTTTCCCTAGATAATCCTTCAGAGGTCATTGCCAAAATATAGAAAAAAAACTTTAGAAATGTGTATATAGGTATTCGTATATTACTTATATTATTATTATTAAGAGGAAATAAATCTTTTAATAATTATTCTCATTATTATTAGTAACTATAGTTCTCACGATTAAAGTTGGGATCTTGAATAAAAGCAGATAATACTTTACTTCCGGTTTGCAAAAGAGGATGTCCTGTGACACTAAAAATAAAAAAATTAATTCATGGAAAATAAATAAATCAATAACTTCATTTTTTTTTTTTTTGATCCTAATACAAATCGCTTGAATTCCTATTCAAAATTTCACCAATTAACAAATCATAATAATATTATTAATCCTAAGGAAATAGAAATTACAAGCAAAACGTGTCAGGTTTTCAAAAAAGAGAGGCTTGCTTTGGCAAATAAATAATAAATACATACATTTGTAAAAATCTTTCCAGTCCTTCTCTACGATGTTCAATAACATCATCTGAAAAACGATTAGTGAAAACTTTTCCTGGTAATGGTGGAATATTAACACGAGACGATTCTCTTTCAAGAACATCACGAAACCATTCAAAATCACTATATCTTCTTCTTACAGATGATTGTTTTAATTTAAAGGCGGGAATATTTGTCTAATTAAATAAAAATTATGAATGGTATATATATAGAAATAATGATTAATATCACATTATAATACTAATTGTTCCTAAAATAAAATATAATTTAAATAATGTTGTTATTAACCCGACAAACAATTTCATAATCAGTATACATTTTACGACCAAAACCTAATTATTTAAATTGCATGTATATATTATCATTATTATCATTATGAGATTAAAGTTTTCTTCAAAAAAAGTGTTTCAAAAATACCATGTGTTTGTGGATTCCGCACTTCAATTTCAAGAAAATTTTCAGGTACACCATACATTTCATCGATTGTTTGTTCCCTCATATGAAGCCTTGATATAGCGTCAAAATTTTTGTTAGTTGGAGGAGATGAAGCCATTGTTGAAATTTTTTTCTTTTTTTTTCTTTGAAAACTTATTTTTATTTATATTTGTAAATTGTGACGTAAAACATAATCTTGTACTGGTTTTTCTAGAACCCCCAGAAACAGATAGGTTGCCTTTTTTTTTGGAAGGTTTGGGGAGCTAACTCCCAAATGTATACAATTATACTTTTTAGGAAGATTTCAGTGGTGGCTTATGGCGCCAAATTTCTTCTTTTGTTATTTTTTAACATTCAGGGTTAATTAATTGTTGATTTCACGAAAATGTTTCGTTGTATATAATATATATATATATATCTAAATGTATATATAGTCTCTATATATAGCCTCTATTGATCATGATGTAATGCTGAGGAGGAAGAGAGAAGTCAACGTGGCATGTTGAAAAAAACAATCTTTTATTAAACTTGATTTTTGGGGAAGGAATTTTCTATTTTTGGGTGTTAATTGCAAATGTTCATTTTTTCCAAGGTCATAAAACTTTTCTAGCCTTCCGTTTCTTTCTGGCTGGTCTTTTAACTGTACTTGATTTTCTTTCTTGCTGTGTCGAGACCAACATGAACTTAATAATGATTTACAAGAGGAATAAGAAAAAGTCAATATACATATATATCTATCCTTTTGTCATTGTAAAATCATGTCATCGTTGAGATCCCTCTCATTAATGAATCGAAAAAGTAATAGTTCTTTATTATTTATCGACAGGGTAATAATTCTTAAAATATAACCATTACTTTTTTGAGAAACATT